AACAGGAAACACAGCAGGAGATTTATCATCTAATTTTTCGTACTGCTTGGCTTTTTGACTAGCTATGAGTTATGAATGTTATAAGCTATTACAACTTCCAGTGTTTTAAATGTGAGATGGCAGATGGAGTTACATACCAGAGTGGTGGTCACCATTTCTTCAAACCACTTGGACTGGGCTTGATTGTAAAGATCCACACAGCGCATCAGGTCATCTCCTGAAAAGTTCAAGACAGCAACACATTAGTCTTAGAAGGAAGTTGCAGTTCATCTTCTGTATACAGATTCAGAATTTTTTAAATTCAGTCCTGAATGATTCAGTCCTGAATGCAGTTCTGTTACACAGTATTTGTTAGGGTAACAAAAACAAATTTCAGCAAAATGCATGCACCTGATGTTTGATAAGAGATCAAGTGATTGGGTACAAAAAGAATGAGAGAGAAAGACAAGATTTAGAAAGGACAATATGAACACTAAGCTACATTTCACAAAATGTCCGGAATTCTGAAAGAAAGTTACTTCAGTTAAAATAAAACCTATCCTAGACAGAAAATTATATCACAAGAAAAGTAATTAAAATACAAAGTCAACAGTAATAAATTATGCAGCTAAGTCACAGCAACTTCGTAGTTCAGACTGCACAAACCCGTAAGATGGGTTTACAACAGGAGAGGCTCAAGCTGCCTGAGATCAAGGGAAGCTTATTTGCAAGCTCAACCCAGCTGTAAAAACATGTAACCTCCAACTTCTGAAGATGCATGGATTCCAGTCTAATTTTCTGGCTTCCTTTCGTGTTCAGGATAGTAACACAGTAAGCTGCTGCTATTTCATTTATACTCAGTTGTAGAACTACATCTCTGACAGAAAGGGGAGGATGGATGGCAAAGTGGATTACACTTCTCAGAGATTGCTACTTACTGGTTAATAATCTTCTTTAAATGATGCTTAGTTACACCTTCCCTAATGATTGTCATGCCCCGGTCCAGGGCTCAATTTCAGAATGTTCTTTTAGGTGCAAAAAGATCTTTATGCATAAACTGGGGAACAATCAAGCTTAAAAATAAGACTACATAGGCCAATCAAGTGCCAAAGCAGCAGATGCATCTGAAAGTCTCTCCCACTTGGACTTAGAACTTTGGTGGTAACCAAAGTCTATAATGAAACCAGGATTCAGACCTTAACACTTGGAAATGAGCACATCTGCCCAGACAGGGGGTGCCTGGATTATAGGCCCTCCTCAAAATAAAAAGTCTGAACTAACAGCTCTCACATTCCAGAAATTCCCCGGCCATCAGACTACATGATACCTTAGCCAGTAATACCCTCCATCCACCTGGGTGAATTTGAGCCACTATACAGCCAGGAACATGAAAGTTATGAAATGCATGAACAGTCCATGGAACCAGACAGTAGAAAGTACTGTTACTTAACAGTAACTGGTGAAGGGGCCTCTGGAGGTCTCTATTTCAACCTTCCACTTAAATCAGGCCTAATTTCAAAGCTAGATCACTAAATGCTGTTGCTGTGCACACTTCAAGTATCCCAGCTGGACAGGGCTTATCATAACAATACCTCTGGCGATAAGGCAAGGCCTCTCCCTTTCATACACCATGAAAATGGCATAAAGCAGGGGAGAGAGATGGGGAGACTCACACCACAGCTTTAGTTATGCCTATCTAATCCACAACTCTCCCTTGCTTGTTCAGTAAAAACCTACAAGCAATTTCTGTGGACACAGAGGAAACACACGGAAATTGTGAATTTGCAGATAGACAGTCAAAGAGCATCTCTCAACCTCCTGTCACTAATATATAGCCTTTTTTATGTAGCTTCTTCAAATGGTTGTCTAACACACAGTCACACTGTGAATGACTCTTTTCAGTGTCCTCAAAACCAAGACAGGTTATCTCAAAGTCTCAGAGTCTTAAAAATAAAGAGTGAAGGACTACTCTACCAAGGGACGGATCTATGAAGGAATGAAACACAGAAGCCCTGGTTGAAAGATATTTTTAGCAAAGGTGCTAGTAGAGCTGCACATACGGGCTTTACAGATCTCAAGGAAGATTGTTTCTGATGGATCCTACAGAAGTGGTTTCAGTCTCTGCAAAACATGTTTAAGTGCCATCAAGTAGTTTCATTTTCACTACAGTGTTACACACACTATTCAGTGTCCCTTGAACAGAAATCATTTTAATCATTAAGTAACAGAGGAAAAATGGCAAAAAAATTCATATTCAAATAAAAAGACAGTAACAGGCAGCACAGGTAATTCCACTTCTGTGGTGGGTGACTATGACTTAGGGAAGAAAGAAGGAAGAGTGATGTTCTAAACTGAGCAAAAATCAGTAACTACCCTTGGCAGGAACTTCAGACAGGTCCAAAATTCAAATGCTGCTCCCAAAACACCACATAAGGAGGATCAGCCATACAGGCCTTTATTTTGCTAATAGTTGTGGCTGATTCAATGGATAACTGATTGACTTCTACAGAGAGGAAAAGTCTATGAACATGATATTAAAGATTGGTAAGGATTGTCTCATGAGGGAAACAAAAACCAAGAACCAAACCCCACTAAGAGGCTCCAATTCCTCCACGAATTCAGCTGCAGGTGAATTAGAAAAGGCCAAGAACCCTTATGTGGGAGAAGAGAGGCAGAAACTCAGAGGCTCAACTCACTTTCAGTAATAACTGGAAGGGACCATACCCTGGAAGGGACCTGCAGAGAAGAAGCCCAGAGTATATGAGCATGCCTGAAAGCGTGAATTTACAGATCCACAAATCACACCTAGGAAAGTCTTAGCTGGTAGGCTGGGATCTGACTCCTTGTTGCTTGCTCTTCCTCTAGATCCATAATCACCGAATCACAGAATGGCCAAGGTTGGAAGGGACTTCTGGAAATCATCTAGTCCAAACACCCTGCTCAAGCTGGGTCCTCTAGAGGCACATTGCACAGGATCGCGTCCAGGCAGGTTATGAATATCTCCAGTGAAGGAGACTCCACTACCTCTCTGGGCAACCTCTCCCAGTGCTCAGGCACCCTCACAGCAAAGAAGTCTTTCCTCATGTTCAGATGGAACATGTGTGTTCGTGTGGTTCAGTTTGTGCCCGTTGCCTCTCGTCCTGTCACTGGGCACCACGGAGAAGAGACTGGCCCCATCCTCTCGACACCCCCCCTTCACATACTTGTACACATTGATGAGATCGCCTCTCAGTCTTCTCTTCTCCAGGCTCAACGGGCCCAGCTCTCGCAGCCTTTCTTCAGAGGAGAGATGCTCCAGTCCCCTCATCATCTTTGTAGCCCTCCGCTGGACTCTCTCCAGTAGTGCCATGTCTCTCTTGTACTGGGGAGCCCAGAATTGGACTTAGTAATATTTGCCTTCCAGGTTGCACAGTAACCCAACTTCAACAGGAGTGATGCAGAGCATTCTTATTTCAGAACATCCTTTAGTTTGTTGATACTTCTATGGGGTTGGGAAACTGTGTTCAAATCTCTCAAGTTGTGAAGGGCTAAAGCCATAGATCTCCTACCTCCTGGGCAAGTACCAGTTTCTTGTGTAGTGGTAATAGTCTTCAATAGACAGATTTTGCTCTGAACTAAATGCAACCTGAGTAAATTACAAGTGTATTTGGGAAACTGGGATCACTAACTCAGCAAAGTCAAGATCAAGACACAATACCAATGTTTCTGCCTGAAAACTACAGCATTTAAGCGGTCTAGGTAAGTTTACAACTACTGAACCTAAATTACAACTAAAAATCACTTCAGACTTCTTCAGATCTGTTTTTGAAAGTTTCACAAACATTGTTATTTCAGCATGCCTTTACAAAACAAAAGGAGAATGAATACACTGTCCTTTTAGTATTTTCACCCCAATTATCAAAATCATTCACCATTTTCTGATGCCTGATTTGGAAAAACTTGGGTTTGTTTCTTCACAGTATTTAACACCAAACATACTAGTAGCCTAGTTCACTTTGATTTTGTAGTTGCAATCTTAAAAAAAACAGACAACAGCCTCTCCCCCCCCCACCCCAAAACTCACAAGCAAATAGATGGCTGATTATAACCCATCTTGTTCTTGTTACATTCTTCTTGCTGGCTTCCTGGGGCTATCTTTACATCCTACTGGCTCACAGACACACGTACTCACCTGCCTGGGTAGACTTCCGTCTGGCCTTTTTAATTTCTTCTTCTGTCTTGTTGCTGAGCTTCACCTCTAGTTGCTGAGTTTTCATTTCCAGATCCTTCTGTCTCTCTGTCAAGGCTTTCCGGGCCTTGGAGTAATTAAAAGATAGTCATATATTTTACAGGAAAACAGTTTCCAACTGCACTCTGCTGTCTATGTCTATTCTTCTATAGAAACATCTGTCAGTAAGAAGTCAGGGATTCTACAGAAAACCGAATACTAACTGGGACTGCTATGACTCAAGTACCTATGACACTATGTGGTGTTAAAGCATCTGCACTCTTCTTAGGTTTCTAACTATCTACCTTACAAAGGTAGCGTACAAAATGCAACATCAGACTTTCACATTTCATAGTAACTTTCTCACTATTTCTAGAACAATCACGGGAAAATTTCTTCTAAATGCATAACTAGTATCACCAAGATACATCTTTCACTTGCTTCTTTTCTTAGGCTCCAAACTGTTGAAAGAATTTCAAATATTTTATAGAATTTCTCTTAAAGTACCTTCTAGCTTTCAGTTTAAATTTATCAGAATCTAGTAGCAAAAAGTTTTTGGCTTATTTATGAAAGACTGATTTAGGTTAGACAACAGTAGTTCATAATTTAGAAATCAAGAACCTAAGACCTGGTTACAACTGATTATTTAAATTGCCTTACTTTAAAGTTCTTCAGGCTTTTAAATTCAGATTTGTCTATATAATTATTGAAATCATACAGCAAAATGAGTGAGGTGTCTGAACAAATACTCTTAATTACCACATACGCTTGTTGTCAACTCATTTGCTGAGGTTGCCTAAATACATAAATTAAAAATCACTTGCTTTGCACAGAGCATTTCATTTGTTATAAAATAGGTCACATTTTTATTTCCTAAGTTAGAGCATTTAAAGATAATTTGGATGCTGATATTTTGTTAGCACTTTGTAGTTTTCTACAGTCATACCAGTTTGTGAGTCACAGTGCTCTGCAAGCAATTATTTTACACTTTTCAATCTACAGTTTTAAAGGACGTGGGCTTAGCTTGGCAGCTCACAAGAGGGAGCTGCAGTAAAATAATCTGGTGAGAAGTTGTATCCTTCATCAGTTATAACTGCAGATAATGGCTATTTCTTTTCATTCATTCTTTTCAATATCCCTACTGATGACTACTGTTTCTTTGCAGATATGATTCTCAAGAACTTATTACGTTGGAGAAAAATGCCTTCCCTGCATACATATAGTCTAATTATTTTGTGTATCCTACCACACAGTCTACCCCTGTGAGAATTCTCTTATGAGCATTCAGATCTTTAATGAAAGCTCCAACAACATCATGGTATGCTGGGTGAGATATTTTTATTTGCAGCTCATTCTCAAGAGCATACTGAGTGAGGATACAACAGCAAACAGCCAAATCATTTCGCATAATTGTGTTGGCAGCATCACAGAGGTGGAGATATCCAGTTTCCTGCCAGTTGCTGATAAGAGAGCACCTTTCATAGACATTACACTCCATAAAGCATGATCTCAGTTGCTTACCGGATGTTTATATTGAAATTGCACCAGATGCAAGAGTGCTGCTATTATCTGGGTTTTTGAAGTAACAAGATTTGCTATGAGGCACAGAAAAGCAGAGCCTGGGAGAGTTTTCTTGCAAATTCTCATGACACATTTGAGCTGCCTTCCTTGGCTATCTGCTTTTGGTCACTGTAGGAGATAGAATACTGCGCTGGATGAACCTTTGGTCTGACTTAGTGTTGCTATTCTAATGCAATATTGAATAAATTTTGAGGGCAATACATGTGACTTCTGGGCTCACATGAGCTAGGAATATTTTAATCAAATGTATTCAAAGTACATTAACCCAAAGTGGGAGGGGTGAGATGCAACAGAAAGCCAGTTCAGTAATAACATTAATCTTAGCATTGGCTGTAGCCCCCAGTTTCCCAAAACTCAGCTAAGCAGAAAACCATGTCTGGAGTCTAGCTATGCATAAGTTATAGCAGAAAGCCCTCAGAAGAGTCCTTTGTGGTTCTTTGTGGTAGAATAGAAACTTTTCAAGAGGCAGCTGCTTTCTTATTTCAGACACCAATATCCTATAAAATCTCAATTTTGTTCTCTGCTCCCACCTTTTCGACTGCTGCGTAGCGGCTGGCCAGATGCTTCCGTAAGTCTGCAATATGATGGTCACACTTTTTCATGTCTTTCTTAAAGTTCTCTCTAAAGTTGAGCAGGGGTTTCTCTACCTCGCTCTGAAGCTGATAATGAAAACAAAAAGGAAGAAATGCTAAGAGTGAGGAGCCAGTTAGTACCACTTGGCTCTTCTCCTGAGCTGAGCTCAGGACAAAGAAGTAATAATACATACACTCAGCCAAAGGCACTGCTATAGGAACATTTTCTTTCCTCAAGACAACTCCGAGTAAAGTTACCTCAATCCTCACCTCTACAGAAGATAGCTCAGTTACGGGAAAATTTACTAAAGGAAGAAGAAAAATAAATCTTCTCTTCCTCTCCTCCATTAAGACTTATCTTTTCTTACACGTAAGATCAAACTGCAGACAATATCCAAAGCACTGATTTACATACTCTGACTTCAGCCTGATGAAACTTACCAAAAAAAAAAGTATATAAACGAAAGCACCTGAATGTGACTCCAGTTAGGGTCATCTGGCACACTGAGGTTACATGTCTAGATTTCCTGCATAGTGAAAAGATATCTAGCAGTGGCACATCATTTTTATTTCTGCCAAATATAAGGGAGCCTAAAAAAGTCGGAGTAGTTAGCTGAACCTCTTTGAACAGTGGCAAGAAACCAATGTGAAATTAACTCAGGAGAAAGCCATCAAGATCGCATAATGTGACTGCAAACACAGCTACTTATCTCTTACAAGCAAGACCTGATAGCAATAGTAAACTCTATTAAGGTTTGTATCACACTGCTCTTTAGCCTTCTGATATATAGTTTGGACCTCCAGAAAACAAGTCCTTTGAAGGAATACAGATATTTTGTCTCCCTAGAAGCATCCCAATGCTTTCTTTCTATTTTCCTTTGTGCAGGAATGCTGGTCTCTGTCAGTTCAGGTGACTTGGGTTCATAATCACCTCATACAGCCCACAGTGGGACAATAACAGATAGTTACTGTAACCAAACTTTTTCAGCCTTTCTCCACTGTTATTTTAATGGAGAAGGACACTTCATTAAAGTTCAGTACAGATTTTTAATGTAGAGAGACTACAAAGAGACTACAGGGCCTAGAGCACCTGTTCTAGAGAGGTTAATAGAGCTGGGCTTGTTTAGGCAGGTGAGGAGTGAGACACTGGGCTTTCCAATAGTAGCCTACAATTACGTGAAGGTCAGTCGCAAGGGTGACGGAGACAAATTCTTCTTAGTACAGCCAGGCAATACAACAACAGATAACGGCCACAAACTGAGTGCTGGAAGGTTCAAGTTGAGTATCATTAAAAAAATAGCAGAAGGATGTGGAGCATTGGAACAACCTGAACAGAGAGGTTATGAAATCTCTGTCCTTAGAGGTATTCAAGACAAACTGGCTAGAAAAAGATGTAGCTGAATTGATCTGGCGTTGGTAATAGTCCTGCTCTGAGTGGGAGGTTGGACTAGACACCTCTAGACAATATTTCTACAACACTCTCATGAGGATGGCCCCAGAACAGATAATAAAGGCTTTTCACAACTTTGTGGTCCAACATGGTTATTCAAGCTCTCTTAAGAACAGAGGTACAAACCTGCAGCTGTGCCAGAAGCAGTCTCAGAGATCAAGGAAAATAAGAACTGACACAGAGAAAAGTTCAGGATAGGTTCAGTGAACTTTAGAGGTAAAGTATTACAATTGATACAGATGTCTGTGTCAACCAGAGTTTGAAATAGTCAAACATTCCGAGTGCCCTTCAAACCTCTCCATCATTGGGAGAGATGGCAATCTGACTCATCTGACAAAAGCAGACACTGCTGAAAAAAAAAATAAACAAAAATCACCAGGGCCAGGAATAGATCAAACAGGAGGACATTTCACTAGTATTTTTACTTGCTCAAGAAAAGTAAAGATATTCACTTATTTCATACAGTTTATAATGGAACTGGAAATTCTGAGATTCTCATACAGATGGTAAATGCACCACCAGAAGGCTCGAAATACTAACAGGGCAGCTGCTTTCTCCAAGTCCTGTGTGCCGGGAATCAAGAGGCAGACTTCTCAACAAAGACAGTCATCTTCCTTCTAGCATCATTATCCTACTTGAACTTCCATCTTGCAAGGCATATCACAAGCTATGAAAATAGACCTTACAAAAAACTCAAACGTGCATGAGCAAAGATTTTAAGAGCTGCAATATAGCTGACCATTTTAATTCTCTTTCTGGTAAAAAAAAAAAAAAATTTGAAAAGGACTTTCTAACGCATGCAGTAGGTGAAAAATACATAGACTAATTTCCTAAGAAGTTGAAATTTAAAACATTAGTGGATATTGACAACACTGACACTTACCCATTACTGAGTTTCAACTAGATATTATAGAGGACTTGAGATCTCAAGAAGTTTGTTAAAATCACTTTTCAGGTATACAACAAAGGCCTTGCTTCTCTGTGTATATCTGTACCAGTGCAGGAGAGACGTAGGCAGAAAGAGCCATAAAATTAATCGAGCTACTAAGCATGAGAGAACCTATGCTGCTGAGTTATCATAAACTGTGGTACAAAAATTCTTCTGGTCACACATGCACTTCTTTGCTCCATCAGCAAAATTTCCAGCATGGCTCGAAACATTTGGTCCAACAGGCAGGGCAGTGTACTATCACAGAATCGCCAAGATTGGAAGGGACCTCTGGAGATCATCTAGTCCAAACACCCTGCTCAAGCTGGGTCCTCTAGAGGCACATTGCCCAGGATCGCATCCAGGCAGGTTATGAATATCTCCAGCGAAGGAGACTCCACTACCTCTCTGGGCAACCTGTTCCAGTGCCCTGTCACCCTCACAGCAAAGAAGTCTTTCCTCAGGTTCAGATGGAAATTCCTGGGTTTCAGTTTGTGCCCGTTGCCTCTCGTCCTGTCACTGGGCACCACGGAGAAGAGACTGGCCTCATCCTCTTGACACCCCCCCTTCACATCCTTGTACACATTGATGAGATCGCCTCTCAGTCTTCTCTTCTCCAGGCTCAACGGGCCCAGCTCTCGCAGCCTTTCTTCAGAGGAGAGGTGCTCCAGTCCCCTCCTCATCTTCGTAGCC